ATATTCAGCCAATCAAATGCATTGCTCGATACAAGACGTACAAGGAATTACACTTGCATTATTTTTTGAGTAAGCCAATCAGTAATAGTGTTCACAGCTCACCGTAAAAATTTGAGCCTTCAAATCCATGTGTGTCCAGAATTAATTGCATTTGAAAGTTAAAAAAGACGAGTCGTCTTTTCTAGAGACACTGTCATATATAGAAAAGACATCTTTAGAAATAGTGAGTAAAATTCCTAGTTTGAGATATTTTTTAAGAAATTATGCGATCTTTTTACTACTGAAGACTATTTACATATATATTCAAGACCCAAATCAACCCCGCAAAACGGCGCATCTGTCCCTTTAAAGCAACATTAAAAATTACAAATTTATTCACAGATTCAGTTCCTGGTAGTTTTTGGTTTGTTCCTTTCACCAAGTCGGGCTGCGAGTTGTGCCTGCGCTACGTTTGAGCTCCACGTAAGGAATGGTCCAGGAACCAGTCATGGGTTGCTAGGCAGTATGCATGCCTCGAATTGTGTACCCTACAAAGGCCAGCAACAAACAGCCGAGGGTTATACCTGGGCGAATATTGATTTTAATGGACAGGTAAGATCGATTTGAAGAGATTGTATAGAGGTTTTCTTGAGTTTTTATGTGTATCAGGGACACTGATAGTATCAATTTACATCATTCTAATTTTCAATCAGACGTCTGTGATTCTTGTTAAAGAGATTGTAAAGAGGTTTTCTAAATTTTTTATGTGTATCAGGGACACTGATAGTATCAATTTACATCATTCTAATTTTCAATCAGATGTCTGTGGTTCTTGTTAAAGAGATTGTAAAGAGGTTTTCTTGAGTTTTTATGTGTATCAGGGACACTGATAGTATCAATTTACACCATTCTAATTTTCAATCAGACGTCTGTGGTTCTTGTTAAACAGATTGTAAAGAAGTTTTCTAAATTTTTTATTTGTATCAGAGACACTGATAGTATCAATTTACACCATTCTAATTTTCAATCAGACGTCTGTGGTTCTTGTAATTCCATTAAAACTAGGCATTTTATGACGTCACCATCGCAAATGAACATTAAAGGGATTGTAAAGAGGTTTTCTTAAATTTTTATGTGTATCAGAGACACTGATAGCATCAATTTACATCATTCTAATTTTCAATCAGATGTCTGTGGTTCTTGTTAAAGTGATTGTAAAAAGGTTTTCTAAATTTTTTATGTGTATCAGGGACACTGATAGCATCAATTTACACCTTCTAATTTTCAATCAGACGTCTGTGGTTCCTTCAATTCTACTAAAACTCTCATTCGTCTCTCAGAGTTGAAAATAAAGCAAACTGTGAAATGTTAAATGTAGCCTATAGCCAGTATAAAATTGTGTTTCTTTCGTCTGATTTTAGTCCGGTTGGGCAGCAACCAAATGGTTAAATATCGGACCATGTGGAACCGGCAGCGGTGAGTAGCCTATAAAGCCCCCTCCCTCCCCACCTCTGCTTCGATCAGTGCTTCCGCAAGTCTGCTCAAAGTCGGTTTTAGACCTCTATAACCTAATTCACTGTTACATCGGTCTTTGAAATAATATTTTTGAAAATACTTCAGGGTCGACTAGTAAAGCAACAGTTTGAATCCATCTCTGCCTCGACCAGTGCTTTTGCAAATCTGCTTGATGTCGGCTTTCATCCACTATCACCTAATTCACTGTTACATCGGTCTTTGAAATAATATTTTTGAAAATACTGCAGGGTGGATGAGTAAAGCAACAGTTCGAATCCACCTATATGCCTCGGCCAGCGCCTCACGGGTCGGTTTCTCTCCCCTGTCCACTTAATGATACATATAATAATATTTGTGAAAATATTCCAGGGTCATCGAAACAGCAGTTACCAGGCTGTCCACGAATAGTATCGAGGTCGGAATGGGGAGCTCGACCACCGACACATACCATTGGTCATCTCCCAGCTGTACCTAAATACGTCTTTATCCATCATGGTGCCACGCCTGGTTGTACCACGGAGAGCGCCTGTAAACAGAAAGTTCGGGAATATCAGAACTACCATTTGGACGGACATCGTAAGTTCATGCCACCCTAGACGTCCTGGGCCTGTGCTTTCGTAACTTTGTCATTAATACAAAGCTACAACCTTGACTACCTAGAAGTGGGGATCATCCGGTTTCGTCCTCATGCAGCCCCACCCTCCCCCAAACCATATCAAGTTCCATTCCACAGGAGAGCCCCTATAACTGAGGATAGCCCGCCCTTACATACGGAAGAGACCCCCGTGAACTAAGTATAGTCTGATTGAAAATTAGAATGATGTAAATTGATGCTATCAGTGTCTCTGATACACATACAAAATTTAGAAAACTTCTTTACAATCCCTTTAACACCATTATTCAAGCAGTTCGCAGCAGACTTCACTTTTGTCATGCCTAATTTTGTATTGTAGATTGGCCTGATATAGGTTATACCTTTGTTATTGGAGAAGATGGAAATGTCTATGAAGCCCGAGGGTGGGATATTATTGGGGCTCATACTTACAATTATAATTATAATGGGTTAGGTAAGTACTGATGTAGTGTGCAATGAGGGAAATTTTGCCAGGAGAGTAGCACAAGCTTTTTTCTTTTTCGTTTTCCAACTGTCGAGGGATCTTTAATGTGCACAGCCTGTAGCACACAGGGCCTCTGTTTATTGTCCCATCTGAACAACTAAACTAAGTTAGAAAAATTCTGATGCCTGTGCCAGTGATTTCGAGAGTCTGCTTGGTGTCAGCTCTTATCCCCTAATACCTAGTTTCTAGAATATCACTGTTTGTAGCAAGTTGGATATTCGTCTGCTAGGCGAGTAAGTGCTGTGGGTTCGAATCCTCCTAAGACTCAAGGTAAGAAAAATTCTGATGCCTGTGCCAGTGCTTTCGAGAGTCAGTCTGATGTCAGCTCTCACCCCCCGATACCTAACCCTTATCCTCCTCAAGGTAAAAACAATTTTTATGCCTGTGCCAGCGCTTTCGAGAGTCAGTCCGTTGTCGGCTTTCACCACCTTATACCATAATCAACTCAACGAAACTAACAGACATAAAAGTTTCGCTTCTA